GACTTAAGCAGTTACCTCAGTCATCTTTTCCACTATCCACTATCTAGTCTATGTTTAGATTGCTTCTGAGAGGCTCTGAGTAACCAGATACGTAGAGCATTGAAGTGTTGTTCCGCAGGTCTTAATTAATTAATAGTTCCATCAATACAACTTTATTGCTAAATATCCTATCTCTGGCAGTGGTCATAATTTGTTTCTACTATTTTGTAGACTATCTTCTTTTCAGCACATAGTTGAATGTATTTTTTCTCAAGTGCAGAAGACACTCAACTACTTGAGTTGCTGTAATCTGCAGACAATTGTTGGCTGCCTGGGTCAGTACTTGGCAACAGAATAAAACTTTGATGGCGGTATATGGATGGGTATATGTGTGTGTGTGTGTGCGTGTACTACTGGAATAACGAAAAGTTCGAATCGAAGCTGAACTTTTCCTCGAAATCAATTTACCAGCTACACTTTCATGTTAAATCAATTGAACTCAGGCGTGCGTTGACTGTCATTCTTGTATGGCCTTTTGACTGCCTGCCCAATCTACTAGCACTCGTACAAGAGCTCGACCATGATGGCATGGCATTCAATGGCTTGTTGCCTTCGTGTGACACTTTTCGTGCACACACAGGGGCAGAGAGAGAGAGAGAGAGAGACAGAGAGAAGGGGGGAGGAAGAGTTTTCCGAACCGTTAGTGCAGAGGTATGCCAATGTTAACCGAAGCCCATACCCGCAGTTTATCTCACTAACAAGGCTAATTGGTCATGAATCTCTTTGCATGACATTGCCACACGCTGACCGCCGCCCAGCCCCGCCTCCTGTCCGCCCACCTTTGGAGGGAACACTGTGACACCTGTCACATCACACAATGAAAATCACTCGACGTTGTCAGTGAACATTTTTGCGCCACACGGCCAAAAAATTGTTGTCGCTTGGCAACAATTCACTTGCTCGCTGTGCTGGCTGTCTCTGGCTATTTATTTAGCTGCTGCTGCTGCCGCTGCTCCTGCTCCTGGTGCCCCTGACACGGCTTGTTGTTGACCACCGGGCGCTGTGCTCAGCACAGCCGAGACACCAATGTCAACTTTTGCCACAACTGCATTAAGCTGACTCGCCCGAAACTTTCGGAATCCTGCCTGACTGACACTCAAGCCATAGCGTTTGCATAGTTGTCATAGTAGCTTTAAGCTTGGCTGATAGTTTGCTTTATGGAGCTGGAAGCGTGAAAATATAATCGAATAATATTGTATCGTAATAAGATGTGTTTTTTTACAGATGAATCAAACGAAATATCATTTAAAGAAACCCATTTCCTGCGTCCTGTCTCTAAAGTAGCTCTTAACATAGTTTACTTTATAGAGCGGTACAAACTTATAGTATAGTTGCAGGTATTACATTTAAAAAATGTATTCCAGGTGAAAGACTCTACTATTCAATACAAAAAGATTACCATGATATTCCATTAATATTTGTATACATAGTTAATTCTGTTTTGTTACCACAAGGCGATCGATACTGACATACAGCAGATAAAACATTCAAATGCAATTTTTAAGAGAAATTAAAACAAAGGTCTTTAAAAACTATAAAAAGGTTTAAGTTACTTAAAAGATGTTTTATTTGGAAGTGCTTTTTAATGTGAATAGTGTAACTATTATTAGACAACGTTGTATGTGTATCTTGATAGATCTTGATATTTAGTTGAATTTACATGAATTTAAAATTTTTCCGCCTTGAAATATACTTATTGCAGTACAAAATGGTTATACAGAAATAGGTACAAGAAAATATTTTTTTATATTTTAACATTTTACAAAAATATTTGCTTACTTTGCTTTGCATTTCGTATATCGATAAGCCAAAACTAGTATAATTTGATATTACCAGACACCAACTAATAGAAATAATCTAACAGAGATAAACTAACAGAAATTGAAATTAACTAACATAATTATGTTAATACAACTATGTTAAATACATCAGCTATGTAAATATCGAGAAGCAGGCAATTAACAGGAGGGGGACATTTCTTAAGCACTCTCATGTAAAATCATTTTCTTACTACTGATTGCCTTTGCAGTTCGTTTGTTTTATGTTTTTGTTAGTGTTTTTTTCGTTTGTTGGCAACTGTATTTAGGTCACAAATATAAATAAAATAAATCGAATTTGCGACTTACTCTTCAATACTCACTTCATAGATTTAGATTGTTACTTAATGGAAACAGTCTTTTAATTACCATTTTCTGCCTTCTAGAGAAATGCTTATATGCAAAAAACCAATTCTATTCGATTCATGGATTGAAAATACAAATACAGTAAACAATTAGATTTGATATTTGAAAAGGGCAAGATTAAAGATTATTTTTATTTTATTTTATTTGTTCTCACGATCGCAGGTCCATCTCGATGATGATATAAAGAGCTGCAATTTCAATTCCCGGCCCAGAACCACCCACGCAATCCTGACCAACGCTGTTACCGGCTATTCAATGCTTTTTGTATGTCCGACACCAATTGTAGCCATAAAATGTGAGACACACACACAAACACATACACCAACGTATATATGCGAGTGGAAGAGAAATGCCAAAAATATTTCACGACAATGACCAGAGACACAAACACAAAACATCGACGACAAATGCAACCAACACGTCGCAGAGGCAATGTCCAGCATCCATTTCCTTGTGTGGGCGATTGGGAGCGGGAGCGGGAGAGAGGGTGGCTGCGACGCCGATGGCGGTTGCGGTTGTGTGCGACAAATTTGCGCGCTCAAATGTTTGACGCGCGTCGGCGCTCTGCAGCATCCACCAGAGAGGTTGAGAGACGTCGAGCAAGGACCAAAGGATGCCGGCAAAACGGAAATGTTCAGTTCATTAGCGAAACGTGCGCGTCGTGTAACGGACGTGAGTGCCCGTGCCCCAAAAGTCTTGCTTAGCTTCTTCTTATTTCTGCTCGTGTTTAAATCGTAGTTGTTGGCTATTGGGCTTAGTCTTTTGTTCCTTTGACAAAGAAGCCGCCTTAGTGTGTGTGTGTTGAGTGTGAGGAGCGCGCGCGCAACTTGTGCAACAACAACAATAACAGTGATGTAGAAGACAGACGGCACATTGCGAATTTCAAGCGTAATTAAATAATTAATTGAACCAAACAAAAGGCAGGCAGCACAGGAATTTGTTTTGCCAAAGAATTGAACAAAGCTGCGAGTGTTGCTGTTGCTGTTGTAATTGTAATTGTTGATGCGGTACGCTGTTTAATTATAGGAAAGGTCAACAATCAACGCACGCACAAGCAGCAACAGCAGCAATGACAGTGGCCGAAGGTGGCTAAAGGTGGTCGAAAGTGTTCGAAGGTGGCTGCAAGTGGACATAGACTAAACCGGTTGCCTGCTTTTTATTTTTTTTATTTGTTTGTCGTCGAGTGCGTGTGAGTGTTGAGTCAAGTACTTTTTCATACTTGCCAGCAGATCGGGAGAGCTATGACGCAGAATGGACAATAGACATAGGCATGGGCCTGGGTATATAGGCATAATAAATAATAGTAATGCGTGCCGCTTGGCCGCGTCTTTAATTAAAAGTGATGAAGAACACACTCACACACACACACACCTGTGCTCGATAAATTCAACTTGCCGAGTTAACCGCAAAGCCCCGCTTGATGGCCAACTGACTGACTTGAAGCTGTGCGTGGCAGAAGCTGCAAGTCAAGCGACGTTGAAAGACTGGCCACAGCATCCCAATAACACCAGCAACAGCAACAGCAGCAGCAACAACAATAAGACTAACAGCAACATCATCATCATCATCATGACCAATGCGAATTCTTCTTTGGCTTGTCTTTACCTTGGCCAAGAACTTGCCGACAACACGAACATTGGCCATAGACAGCAACAGCAGCAGCCGCAGCAGCAGCAGCAAGCACGAGACCAAGAACGACGACTACGACGCTGCGAGAGTTGCAACTTGGCCAAATCACAAGAGCTTTGCCTTCGGCTTTGACTCAAAATAAAACGCCGGTTTCGGTGTGCGCTCTCAGCGTCGACGTAAGCGTCAGCTGCGCTGCTACAGCGCTGTTAGCGTCAACTGCAACGTTGGTCAAGTAACGTCAGCGGCGTTGTCTTCTGCGAAAATTTCTTTCTGAGTGGGGAATTCTTGCAATGCATTAAAATACCAGCGCTTACTCATTTCATTGAAAGCTGACGCTGGCCGCGCAGTCAGCGCAATCGCACCGACAGACAGCACCGATGAGCGCCAAATGGCGATCCAAAGAGATGAGCAACTTTGTTGCGCGCCACAAATACTCAGGTATTTGAGTGTGTTTGCGTTTGCGTTTGTGCTCAAATATGTGAGAGTGTATGTGCGTTTGAGCGTCTGTTTGCGTTCACGTGTCGTCGCGGCTGCTGCTGGTGCTGGTGCTTCGGCTACTATGCATGTGTGTCGAGTTCTTTTTGGCGCTCTCTGCCATTGTCTGCTCTCAGTATCAGTGCTGTTAGCTTTAACTTTGCTTACTGCTGCTGCCGCCGACGGTGCTGTTGCTGTAGCTGCTGCTGCTGCTGTGCTGTGCTGTGTTTTCTCCAAATTGCCGCCGACGTAGGCTATATAAATAAGCGTTGAGAAGCTATTGAGTCCGAGTCTCTTTGAATTTTATGAAGCGGTTGTACCTAGGTGGTGCCCCAACAGCCAACCAACCAGCTAACAGGCAATCAGCCAACACATAGAACCCAAGTTGGTCGTCGTTGTCGTCTGCAGCAGCCGCCACACATCATCTTAGCGTTTTTGCCGCTGCTGCTTCTTGTAAAATTTCTTTGCATTTTTCAACAAGAAGAAGCTTTCGAACTTTACACAGAGTGGATTATTTCTAAAACGAAACAATTTCCCAAAACTAACTGTGAAAAACCGGCTAAAATAAAACAAACTAAAAATATACAAAATATAAATGAATAAAAAAAATTGTGCGCGTGTGTTTTGTGAGAAATGTTAAGCAAGAGCGTGTGAAAGGATCAAGAACTGTGCAAAGGACTGCCGTATCGAAACGGGCTGCGCAAATCAAAAAACTCGAGCAGTGGCAAAGTGTTCAATTGTCGTGCAAAATTCCATTCAAAACTAATTTGTGCTGTTTCTTGTGTGAAAAAGGTGAGTTAAAGAGTCCTTGCAGTTGGTGGGCAAGCGCTTAGAACCTTCTTTGTGAAAATGTTGCTGCAAAATTCTGTTGAATGTCTGTTTCTCAGTTAGTTCGTTTTTAGTAATGGAAAAAGAATAAAGAAACAAATTAAATAAATTTTATAAAATATGAGTAAATAATCTTTTTAAATATATTTAGAAAGAAAAAAATACAGATACAATTTTGAAATAATTCAACAAAATTCATTTTTGAAAAACAATTTTTTTGAAACATATGTGCAGTCATAAATTTTCAAAAGTTCAGTTACTTGTAACTTTAAAATAAACTATATTTTCCGATGCATTTCTGCTTACAACAGTTTAAATTTTAAAAAAATATTCAAGAATCGTTGGAATTAAAATAAACGTGGCTTCTTTAAATTTAGAAAGTCTCAATATTTTCTAAAAATTCCAATTAAAAATTTAAAAATTTATTTTAAAATGTTTGATTTAAATTATTCTTTTTCTTTGAAAAGCTTAATAATTTTATTTAAAAACTATACACGTATTATTTAAAATAAATATTTTATAACTGACATTGAATTTAATTTAAAAAGAACTACTTAGGACAGATCATGATTTTAATCATTTTTGTTGAAAAATAATTTTTTAAATATTAAATAAAAAAAAAACGATATTTAACAAGATAGAACGCTACAGTCGAGCAAGCCCGACAGTAAAATAGCCTGTACTCTCTACAAAAAAAGAAAAATTAAAAAAAAAAAATTTTAAAAAAAAATTAAATTATTAAAAAAAAATTAATGAATTAATTAATTAAATTAAATTAGAATATATGTTTATGTTTAGTTTTAACAGCATACATTTACATCACGTACCTATGCGTGTTTATATGCGTGTATGTATGCAGCACAAAGTTGAACCAAAGCAGCAACAACAACAACAGCTGCGGGCAGCGCTGCCGACAGAGCTGCAGGCAGCGCATGAGCAGCGATTTTACTTATGGCTATAACTTTCTTCAGAATTGACCTATCATGATGAAATTTGGCACACGGACACAATAGTACTAACTGGATGTACCTACCAAAATTGATTTCAAAATTCCGAGAATTACGGAAGTTATAAGAAAAAACACGAATTGCGGGGGAGTGGGGGGGTGCATCGAAAAAAAACTCAAACTCGTACTTTCTCGGTCTTAGGAGAATATGGAAACCAAGTTTGGTTATTCTAGCTCTTATACTTTCTGAGATCCTTGCGTTCATACGGACAGACGGACAGACAGACGGACAGACGGACAGACGGACGGACGGACAAGGCTATATCGACTCGGCTTCTCATCCTGATCAAGAATATATATACTTTGTGGGGTCTGCCACGCCTCCTTCTGTGTGTTACATACATGCGCACAAAACTAGTATAGCCTTTCACCCTTTGGGTACAGGCTATAAAAATGAATTCTTAATATTTGTAGACTTGGTGTTGAACTTAAAATTACAAAAGAATACAAAACCAATAAGTAATTTTAAAAAATATTTAAATACAAATTTCATTTCAATAATAATTCGAATATAATACGTACCAAAAATCCGTAAAAAAATATTTAACAAATAAAAGCTAATATTCGAAATGATTATTTAATATCTTTTATGAAAATTTTTAACTCGAATTTGCCAAAGAGGCCTACTGAATTGTTAAAACATTTCAGAGAGCCTACAAATATTTGCCTTCCTTGAAGAATTATATTTAGAATATTCGTTTCTAATTCCGGCTTAGTTATGAGTAATGCAGAAGCTGTATGGCAAACAAAACACATCGATTATAAATATTGCTGTTTTGCAATTTGCAAGGGAAATTGTGCATGAGGCTGAAACCAAACTAGAAACTGGAATTTATAATTATTTATTTCCCTAACAAGTTTTTTTGTTGCTCAACCAATTGTGTATTACCAGTGGGCCGATTACGCTTTGCAGGGCATCGGGCATTTATATAAATTAGAATATGAAAACACTGTCGTCCTCTTATCGATGGGTATGTCTCTGATTTACACATTTCAATTAATTTGCTTATTATCGCTAACTGTTGCGGGTATGGCTTTAATATTTTACGAGCGACAATTAATAAAAATTAATTTGCTGTGCGAAAATAAACCAAAAGGCAACGAGGCGTTAAACAGAAAACGGAAAAGCTATTCATTCATAAAACCATTGGCGCTGCTGGTCGCTGTTGGTGCAAATTGCATTTCATTCACAACTGGCCGCCACTCTTTGGGCCGTTTTGTTGCACAACTAACGGGGCACGTAAACGCAACGTAAATGCCACGCGCCCAGACCAACACCAAGACCGAGACCGACACAGGCAGGCAGGCGCATATTGGTTAAAAGCACTTAAAGCCTTATTTATGAATAGCCATTTCAGCACGACACCAGACGACTGAGTCATGGCCCAACAAAATGTCCTGCCAAGTGGTGGCAAAAGTTCAGTTTCAAAATGGCGTACACAAGCTCGCAGTCTAATTAGGGCTTATGTGCTCGCACAGTCCGTTGTTTAACCGTTACACTCATATACAATCTATAGGTGTACATAAAGGTAAAGAGTTTACAATTGTATTAGTTGGAAGAAGTCCCGGTCTGGCATTTGTCATAACAAAAACTCTATGCCTGCTCAGGCTTGACTGTAAAAGCTTTTAGTTGCCCATAAATAATGCAAACTATGGCAGGCAACTACTGCCATTACACACACACATTTATGCACACACACATACATACATACCTAGTAGTTTATATGTGTTATGATGACTGCCCAAAATGGCAGAACGGCCGGAAAAAATATACTCGTATGTGCAGAAATAAATGCAGCAACGATTTATTTATAGTTGTTGGGGTTATGATATCCAGCATTGTGGCTGAATGTGTCTTGCCAATAAAAAAAGCAAATAAAACGCGCAGCACACACACTCTCACACTCAGAGAAAGAGAGAGAGAGAGAGAGAGAAAGAACAGCCCATCGTCTGCCCCGGCCTGGCAAACAATTTTAACCTGCCGGCCAAAACGAAATGACTTTGAGTGTTATTTGGTTTCCCAGAGATTCCATTGGCAGCATGCCCAGCGTCCATTAGTGATGTAAGCTGAGATTGAAGCACAAATCGAAAGTTACCCGCAACAGCAGCTGACAATGATAAATCAGATTCATGGACTACATTGTTCAGAAAGATAATCATATTCTGCACGCTCCTCTTTTTAATTAATAGAAAAGTTGCAAATAGATATCAACGGCTAAGCACAAACTTTATTTTAGAAGTTATCTAGTCTAGTGCTGACTTAGACAATGCCGATTTTATTTAAGGTAAGAGATTGTCTTTTAACGATAGAAATTTTTAAATAATTTTTGCATATAGTGGATCCTTTCTTGAATGCAGAAAAGTTCCTATTTGTGAACAATTTGTATTATACGGGTATCCGTTTCCACTTGAGCTTAATTAATCATCAATTAATCAAAGAATCTCACTCTCATGCATATAGTTTATGATTGATTGACACTTCATTCGCGATATGATTCATTTCCCCCTTCACTTCACTTATTGCAAGCCCCCGCCCCTACGCGCAAACTCAGACCGCTGCAATTTATTTCTACATTAGCGTATGAATTATAATTTATTCGTAAATAATCCCTATCCCTTAATACTGCAAAAAATTAATCCTTTAAAGCAAGTGCGATTGAAGCAATTACTTTTCACTAATAAATAGAAATGCACACTAGTTCTATAGTAATTACGTAAAGAAAATAATTTATGCTTACCTAAAAATCATTCAGAAATCAGTTTACTTTATAACGAAGAATCTTAAGCTTACTCTGAAATAAGGAATAAATTGAAGCAAGTTATAATATGGAAATTACTAGAAAGTGACTTAAAATATAATATACATATAAATAGTAATATTTTATAAGGCAACAGCTTCAGTTTATGGGTAAATAAAATGGGAAAAATGTAGATATTTCTAATGAAAGATTGTTAGATCATCGTCCATCCAGTACGTACATTGTTAGAGAAATCAATAGATGGAGGTATATATTTAATTGCATAATCCAACAAATTTATAAGAAAAACTGAAAACTGAATAAAATAACAGTTAATACACGCTTATATAGGAGTTTCAATTTTTAATCTGTTTGAGATTCTATAACGTTCAAACTATTAGAAATATAAATGGATTGAAAAGGTAAAAAGGATTGAAAGGGGAAAATGATTTTCTTTTAAAGGATTCCTCATATAGACATGCTGTTTCAAGCTTAAAACTAGCTGGCATTCTATACATCTTAAGACTCAATAAATTATATGGGAGTATATCTATAAAATTATGTAAGCTCCGATGTTTTCATTGCATAGCTCTATTTTCACATCACTAGCGTGGCGGCTGCGACTGCGGCTGCTGCTGTCCAAAATCCAAGTCCAGTCGGCATGCAGGAAACAGCAGCAGCAGGTGTTTCGGTTTAGTTTGGTTTGGTGGTTTATAGACAGACGGACAGACAGCTGGACAGACGGCTGGCAGGGAGGCAGACATTCGAATAACACACAGTCCAGCACTTTGCGCAAAACTGTCCCTTATGGCCCAGCCTTTCGTAAGGAAATAGTGTGATTTATAGACTGTTTTTTGTTTTTTTGGATAAAACTGCCACACACCCCTCCTCCACAGCTAGTTTGTCTGCAGCGCCACTAGCAACAGATTTATTGATGAGACGTACAAAAAAAGAAAGAAAACCAAATAGAAAAAACATTGCAAACATTTTGTTTGATTTTTTCAACGCTAGCCTGTCTAGTTTTTGCGGCTGTTGGCATTTTGCGGTTTAGTTGAGCTCAGCCTTTTTATTTTTGTTTTGTTTTGCCGCAGAGCAGCTGCTGCCGCTGCTGCTGCTCGAATTTAATTAAAATGGCTTTTAATATGGACATTAGAAATGTACGTTTATGACAGCAACTAGAGTTGAAGCCATTAATTTAGCGCTGGCTCTGCGGTTGCACAAAATTACACACCACTAACAACGATTTTGTGGTTGAAAATCGCATACAATTTGATTGCAAATTTTGAAACTCTTTCTACCTTTACCCCTTTCTACCAGTACTGGTGGTATGTCTATTTCTGGAACTATACTGCTCGTAACTTTTCGCATTTCCGCAAACTGCAAACTTGGCAAAATAATCAAAGTCAGTGACAAGGACAGTAGTGGTTGCAAAGATTCTGATTCGTATAGAAGTTTAGTTGACACTTTATTGGCAGCAAAAAGTTCTAGCTGCTTATCACATGCAGAAGTAAAGTTTTATGGTGGCTGGCAACAGGGCGTATGTGTAATGTGTGTGCAGCACGTGTGGCAGTTTGCTGAACTTTATTGATTGGCAATGTGTCTCAAAATAGACACAATTCGGCAAAGATGCTTGCGACTTTCTATAACCAGCACTTTCAATACGATTCGTTTGATATTCAAAATGCTATTCGGCCAAGGCTAAGTTATTGTTTTGTGGCTGTCGTTGCCTTTCTTTTGTGGCTGCTAAAAGATAATTTTATGCCCAGCACTTGACGATAGATAGATAGTGTGTATGTCCAACACACACATTGTTGAATTTCCTTTTCAGCTTGTTGTTCAGTTGTTGTTTCGAAATGTGCTAAATTATCATAACAATTAAGCGGCGCTGCAGCCGAGGCCACAAAACTGAAGAAGTAGAAACGCAGCCGAACATCAAATCAAGACGCAAAAAAGAAAGACAAAAACAAATTGTTAAGGTTTTGTCTTACCATCACCTATCTTTTTTGGATTCTTGAGCAGCATTATGTAAATTTATTTTAATTGTGTTTGCGTGTGTTCGGTTGTGGCTTCTAAACTCCTTGTGCCTGCCTGCCGCCTGCCTTCAAAATGCGCAGCAACCAACGAAAAAAGCGTTTAAAATATTTAATTAGTTGGCAAGAATGTTACGAGCTGTGACTATTTTAAGTTATGATGCGCGCACAGCCAAAGAGCTGACATCAGCTGATTGCTGAATCAAAGAATTTATTTTGGCAACAGGCACTGCCATTACATAATTATACTTATACAGTTAGAAAATCTAACTAATTAGTCGACGTTTATGCAAATTGTGCGCCAAAAGCTCAACAACTTAATCGCATTAGCACAACTAACCACAAAAAATACGTTTATCGCGAAATCTTTCGCATCAGCTGGCGCATGTATCAAGTGCTTTTCGGCCAGTAGTCGAGCTCGATAATGGCCAACAAATTCAACTGTGACGTGCGTCCTATGTGGACTATGTACATACAACAATATATATATAACATACTTACTCGTATATACGAGTATATTGTTTTGTTATGTATTTTTGAAAATTCACGCAGCGCTTACCTTGGACTCTGTCTTGCGCCCACGAGCTGGCCAACTCATCAATAGCAAACAGCAAACACTTGAGAGCAACTAAAGCTATCGAATGGAATGGCGTGAGGGAGGCTGAGGCCGCTACTGCCTTTGTCTTTCTTTTGTGTTATTTCAAAGTTTAATTGAGTAAATCGGTTTATGTGTAGCATTTGCTATGCCTTTGTTGTTGTTCTTCTTCTTCTTCTTCTTCTTCGTCTGTGGCAAAGAAAGTAAGCGCAACTGAGCACATTACGCGCGTTACACCCAAACGCCAAGGTTAAATGTGTTCTATGGCTGCCACAGCAACATCAGCAACATCAGCAACACCAGCAGCAAGAACTGGCCAATATACACAGGTATATATATACTTATATGTATATACATATATATATATATATATGTGTGTGGTGTGTTGCGGGGCGACAGGCGCAAATTTCTCTAACCCAAATTATTTTGCCAGTGTCGGTCGCTTGTACGATCTGGTTTTGCGCTTTACTTTCAATAGACTTTGTAGTGTTTTTTACATTTTGTTTGATTTTTTTTCTCATTCCTGCAAGAACCAACAAGCATCGGCAGCTCCAAAGAAATGCACAGAGCTTGGGAGCCACACATGACAAAAAGATGTTTTTGAGTTCAATAGCCATGCAGCACGAATAGAAGAAAGTGTCGGGCATTCGATAGAAAGAAAAAGTGTGTGTTTGGTTCTTGTTTCTTGCCTCGCTCGGCCTTTCTGGCTGCCATTGCCGGTTCACTAAGCTAATGAGGCGCCGCAACTGTGCCACACAGTTTTATGACCCATGCGTATACGTAATGTTAGTTATCCGGCAACGACTATACTATATAACACATAGAAAAAAAACATACACTACATCCATGTACAGATAATGAGCATGAGGGTCAAAGGCAGCTCAACTAAAATGCTTGCATTTGAAATGCAATGTGAAAGCAAAGTTTTTATTGAAAACATTTATAAAAGAATGCGGCATGCGAGTAGAAAGATTTGAATTACAACTTAATAATGAAAAAAAATATTAAAGGCATTCTAAACAAATTAAGTCAAATACTAAAAACTTGCAAGTTCAGTAAAAACAAAATGTAGAAGCAACATAAAAAGAATAAATATAAAACTTTAAAACCACAAGGTATGGACTGGCGAACAGATAATTTGTATTCAAATTGGTACGATTGCACAAATATGTAGTGAATATAATATTATTTTAGTAAAAAACAATAATATAGAGTTAACTTCTGCTAAAATCTTCTTTCAAATTTACTTTGCAGATCCTGCATGTTAATTAAGATAAACATTTGAAAATTTGAAAACTATTTGCATGTTTGACCGTACATTTTATTATTAAGAGACATATCTATATACAAGTAGATAAAATCGGTTTGAGTACTGATTAATTGATTGATAAGCAAAGCACAGCTCGAACGATAAGAGCTTGGAATTAAAGATAAGGATGAGAAAGTGTTTATTGAGAAATTTTTGAAAATATAAGCACATAAAGGTGAAAAAGAGTCTTTAAAGTTTACATAAAAGATTTAAGGAGCTTGTGTTTATCATCGAAGTGGCTGTTGAAATAGACAACGATAATAAAAAATTGAAACTATTCAAATTAAAACAATAAAGTGTCTAAAAAAACGACACAGAATTATATTAGCATAAAAAAAAGGTAATAAATGCAAACAATTCATAGAAATATATGTTAATATGGCAATACAAATAACTTTAGTAAGAACAGAAAAAAGAAATATTTTGAAATTCATTTAGCACAATTCAGTCAATATTATTCTTAAAATCTATTAATAAAAAAAATATGATTAATCAATTCGAATAATTTCAAACAAAAAACGATAAAAGCGCTTAAAATAAAACGAATTATTAATTAAATAAAAATCACTAGAAATATGGAAGTATTTAAAAAAATACTTAAAGCTTAATTGTGTTATTATTATAATTTTTGAATGTGAATTTAATTCAATTTTAGGCAGAATTCCCTTTTCCTGATTTGACTCAAAACGTATAACAAAATAGTTTAATTTTAGAAAACCCTGAGTAGTAACCGATAGCAATATTTAGTAAGCGATACTAAGACTCGCTTCAATTAAGAAGGTGACAAATCCCTTTTAAACAAAGTTGCATTCTCGCTTTCAATATGAATGTATTATGCTGCACATCGATGGAAAGCGTAACGAAAATATTTCTGAGTGTAGTCAGCAATTGGCAATGGCCTGTTAATGCATTTTAATGCGCACCATTTCAAAGTGTTAATGCCCACTTAAGCGGCAGTTGAAAACTGTTAGTAGCCCTCAGGATGCGGCACAGCATTGCAATTTCGTTGAATGCCTCGTAAAAATAAAATTTAAGCCGCATCGAGCTGGCGAGGTGGCAAGGTGACTAGACTTGTTGCAGATTTGTTGTGTTCCTTGGTGGCCGGCCTCTCTGGCACCACAGGCGGCGGTGGCGACGACGACGAGCGCGTCGGCAGCAGTTAAAAATTAGAAACGAAATAATAATTTAAAAGCCATTGCGCGCATAATGGCCATAAGGCCAATCGCTTGTAATTCAATGCGAATGCGTGCGTCGCCAATGCGGTCAAGGTGTCACATATTGGCACGCTTGCGAGCCAAAATATTGTTTGTTTAGTGTAATTTAATTTGGCCAACCAATTTGTTGGCCATTAGCTATTTAGTTAGCTGCACCAATTTGCCATTTAATGGCTTTCTGGCCCCACGAAATGGGCTAATACCGCACAGTTATGGGCCAAGGCATAATTAAAGCAACGGTCTTAACAATAACAGCAACAACAACAAGAACAACAACAGTAGCTTATTAATCAGTCGAGAGTCCAATGTCCCAAAACAAGTTTATAAATTTATTCAATAAATCGCCTGCCTGCCTGCCTGCCTTCCAGCCTGCAATTGCCCGTAAGCAAATTAAAGCATTCTTTTTAGGAGAATTGTAGAAAAAGCAGGAGCTTCACAAAATGTCGAGAAATGCTTTTGTGAGAAAATATGCAAAAACCCGTCACCACGCCGCTGGCCATTCTGCCACTATGCGTAGCATTCAATGGCCAAAAGAAATCAACAAGTCCAAAACGAGTTTTCAAATGTTTTGATGATTTCGTTCAGCGTCGTCTCTTTTTAATGAAATTAATTTCTATTGTATTTTCTGTAAATAGCCAATGCCAATCAAAAATCAACAGTTATCTTTACACTACACTACACACAGCGAGCATTTTTCTATTTCCAATAAGTTTGTCAGAATGAATGGAGCTGGAATTCTGGCTGATTTGTGGCATAGTATGTATTATTGATATTCGTTCCAAAGATATGTTTCTCTCTTAAATAACAACTTCTTTACTGATGCTCTATAATTAAGCAGCTAACACAAACTGATTGTTTTCATTAGTCGCAGAAACTCTTCCTGATTCACCTCGCCATCATTATCCACATCAGCCTCGTCAATCATTTCGCGTAGTTCCTCATCCGTCAGCTCCTCTCGAAGTTCGTTTGCAACACGCTTTAGATTCCTGAATGATACTTTGCCTGTACCATCGTCATCGAAGAGTCGAAATGCCTTTAATATGTCCTCATTTGAGTCCTTTTCGGTCATTTTAATGGTCATCAAATGGAGGAAATCATCGTAGCATATCTGGTCGCTATCCTTCTTATCGATTTCGGCCATCATGCTCTTAATTTCGTCTTTCTTGGGTTCAAAGCCTAAAGCCCTTATGGCCACCTTTAGCTCCTTAACCTCTATTAGTCCAGTCGACTCTGTGTCGAGCAATTTGAATGCCTCTTTGATGTCAGACTTTTGTGCAGCAGACAATTCGAAGCTAGGTCCTGATTTTTTGCGGCTCAGCTGCTTGCTGCGTTTTTTGTTCGACGCCATAGGGACAATGGCAGTTGCGATTGGTTCCATTTTAGCTCCCGACAATGACTGCGGAGCATTGTGTATCCTGGTTACTTTTTGGTTGCTAAGTACTCTCTTTCCGGTGCTATGGTTACTGGGGTTACGCGGGTGTCAGTTTTTATTTATTTCATATTTCGTTTGGTTGGTTTGCTCTCTTAACGCTTAACACACACTTAACCTTCCTCTTATTTTCTTTTATTATAAAAGCATGATAAGCAAACAACCAATACTTTTAGCACTGTTCGAACAGCTCTTCATATTGATTATACACTCTTAAGGGGGACGTATTGACACATTTTTCAACATTGTTTTTTGTTTGCATTTATTTATTTTTCACACACTATATCACACCTAATATCGATTTGTAATAAAAATCAAGATTATGCACCCATCTTGAATGTGATATGCTTTATTTAAATGCCATAAACAGCTGAAGTTTCTTCCCTTGCACTTATCAAAACATCTTATAACATACTCGTATCAGAAATTCCTTCCATAACACGACTTCAATGAAAGAGTGATCGGTATTTCCGGTATTTGCTGGAGTTGCATATCCGCTTTGCATTTTATTAAGCCCACTGACCTCACGATGACAGCCTTTCGCTGTCACCATTTCCATCTCCAGCGGTTACTCACATTCCGATCACCCAAAAAAAAAAAAAAACACAAAATGGAAAAACAAAAGCTAAACTGTAAAGAAAACAAAACAAATGTTTCTTGCATAAATCAGTTTAAATAAACATGTCAGTATTTAAAGATCATATGAATACCCTGTAAATACACCAGTTGTTGTTGCAGTGCTTGTTATTGCTGTTGTCGTTCTGCTGCTGTTGCCGCTGCCGGTTGACACACACGTTTAACTCGAATTTTTCGTTGTTTGTTGGCTGTCCGGCCGGTTGCTTAGTTAGCTGTTTGGCTGTTTGGTTGCTGACCCAAATACGTAAACTTGACTCTTGTTTTCTACACTGTTGTCCGTCTGCCAGCGGTTTTTGTTTATTGTTTGGTGTTGAGCATGATTTACATTTCATTTGATTGTCAATGCTATTAAGTCGCCTTTTCATAATTCCCAATTATGCTAAAAGTCAAGTGCGAATTGTCCGCAACAAATGCCACCAGCGGGGTGACTTTGCAGAAACGAAAAGCAAAGTCCGATGCCAACGTTAAGCACATTATTAATTGATTCCAATTTTTTCTCTCTCTTTTTATTTACAGGTATGTAAATTGCCAATCAGTCAGTGTCGTTGTTGTCAGGCGCCTGCAATTGAGACATCGAGACAGCGGAATCGCGTGGCCCATAAAAGTATGCAATGGAAAAGTTGCTCGCAAATTGCCGCTAAAATCTCGACGACAACTGACTGCACTTTTTGTTGTCGCTGCAGCAGCGGAGGCAGCCTCTGCTGTTGCTGTTGCTGCTGCTGCTGCGGTTTAACTGTTTCAATTTGCATAAATAAATAATTTAGCAGTGCATTCATTTGACTGAAACAATAAAAGTCAGCAAATTGAGTCGCAAAAAAATGAAAGAAAGACAAAAAAAAATAGAAAAAACAGATATGGTAGAAAAGCTAAAGCAGAAATTGAAACAGGGAGCAGCATCTAATTTATGCAGCAAGGGGGCAATTGTGATGGCGACTGTGGCGGGCAGGAGGGCAAGAGTGAGGCAGGTGAAGCGAGCTGAAGTTGCAGCAAGGTGCGTGCCGCTTTCCTGTGACTAGGGCTGCGCTTGAGTGCCTCCAGACAGAGCGCGCAGGAACAAAAGCTGCGTGTGTGTACACTGTACACTAAAAAAAGGGTGAAAGGGCATGTTCAATTGCTGAAAGGTTCATTCATGTTAACATAAATGCTCCGATTTCTGCACAAGATACTGTTAGATCAGACAGATCGATTGAATATTAGGTTCTGCTTACTTGTTTAAAACGGTTTGCGAAAATAGTTAGTTCCCTAACGGATTACTAATAGGGCGAGAAGAACATATTGATTTGGGGTCAGCAGATTTTAAGACCAGAACATTTTGTCATTGGTCGCTTTACTTTACTGCTTGTAATATAGATTGGCTGTCAGAACTCTGTAGATTATGACAAACTCTATAAATTATGAATATTATGATATCCCTCTAAAGTAAAGAGAGAGTATTTTGCAAAAAGAGTATTCTTTAGTTGTTTGTGCTTGCGAGCGGCGCATTCTATCTTGTTAGAAGGTAATAAAGCGTGGCATAGCTTTTTATGTTCAGACAGGGCGCGCGCTCATTATTGAAGCTTGTCATCAGCCACGTACATACCTGACGACTCAGGATTTCTTGTTGCCTGCTGTATGCCCGGTCGCATTCTTGTTAGCCAATTCTGCTGCTGCTGTTGCCGCTTGTGTCATGTCATCATCCTGTGCATATCCTTGTGCAAATTCCGACGCTTGCCATTGCTTCATTGTTTTCATACTTGACTTCATTGCCGTCAAGTGTGCGGCGGGCGACTATGGCTGCTTGCCTGATTTTATGGCCCGGCACTTTGACTTCGTTCGCCGATGTATTTTATGTGTCTCTATGTTGTTAACCCGTGCCACTTGACGCGCACCCCTTGTGTAACTCGTTCGCCAATGCGCTTCTTGCCACAAGCCGGTTGCCACAGTGTGCCGGCCGGGGCAGCAGCTTTAAGCTTTGTTTCGACAGCTTAATTAACATTCAATTAAACATTTAAAGTCCGCACCGTCCAAAAAGTCAGCGCCATTCAACAAAGAACCAAAAGCCGTCATTTGAATGCACGATATACGAGTATATGGTTTTTAATTTAAATGCAAAATAAATGTTTTGCCATTTGCCATTGGACAGGCAGTGTGACAGTTGGGTTGAATGCGATTGCATTTCGCATTTCGCATCAGCAACGACCATGAGATTTATGGTCACAGTTTTAAATATCAGAGCAGAGCAGCTTTAAAATGTCACCCTGGCCAATAGAAAATTGTGGCTGGCGCACAATTTCGTTTATTGCCATAAATTTTGATGCAATTATGTGCGGGTATGCTATGGCATGATGACAATTTTGACGAAAAATCAATTTTGAAGCCAATTTGTCGAGGCTAATCAATTAAATTAAAAATGGCAACCTACCCCCAAAAATGAAATGCCCAGACACGCCCGCAAATGAAAGCCGTTGCCTGTCAAAAATCCTGACAGCGCAAAGTGGCAAAAAAGTGGGTTTCTTGGTTGGTCCTGCTGCCTTAAATCGCGCACTCCATCAATCTTGCTCTACGGCTCACTCAACTTGACTTGTTGTTTGGGAAAATGTTGTATAAAAAAAGGTTTTTTTTTTAGTCAGCTGCCAGCATGCAAAATGTGGCAAAATGTTGAGCCACTAATTGAAGCTACGTGCTGTTTACTCGTGCCATATAACCGAGCCATTATAATGTATATCCATATATATCCATTAATATGGGGTGTAGGTTCTGCCTAGAAAATGGATGTTGTCTAATTAGGCGTACGTGTGTGGGCCTTCTGGGTGCCCAGTTAAATCATACTTATAAGTACAAAGTCAGACACATATATTCTTATAATATATAGTTGCAATGTATATATGCTTTTTTTCATTGTTTAAAGATGAACAAACACACACACGCACACGCTCAAATGTTCTAAGAAGCAGAGAGTGGAGTTAATAGGCTCGAAAATGTGCTTAAAAACTGGTTGACTGACTATTTTTATGGCTACACGCTCGTCTATAACGCGCCTGCGTAATATCAAAAACTGCCCATTAAATTTAATTTCATTTCATTTTCGGGCATTCTCGGAAGTACGCGCACGTCATCTTAATTAGGCCCGACTCTGTTCAAAATTTGGTGCCAAGTGCAGTAAACGACGGCATTCCTAAGCCGGCGAGGCAGAGACAGAAACATGTGAGCGGCACTTCATAAATCAAAAGCTCGGTTGAAGCTCAGAACCCTGTGGCTGCTACTTACACAAAAACATAACTTTAACGGCTAATACTTGTATGCCTATGAAAAAATGTTGAGCACTTTCCATTTTAGCGGCGACTGTAGAAAGGCAGCTCGACTATTTCGGCCATTTCCGAAACCGGCCCTTAACCCATGCTCGTACATATTTAATACAAATTGTTTGCTGGCCCAGCACACACACAGAGAGAGAACACTTTCCTCGCCTCGTCAACATCACCGTCATCGTCGCCGTCGTCGTCGCATTACAAAACAAATAAACTTGTTTCTTGAGCGTTGCCGCAAATAAAAGTGAAATTGCAGCCTGTTTATTGCACACATCAAACAGTTTGTTTCCTCAAAGCATTGAGGAACACACTTTCCTACCGTTAAAATCTCACGTTCATCTCTTAATGATGCATCGTTTTAATTATTGTTATTAGTTTTTTTTTAAAGTAAAGTGCTCGACAGGTAAACGAAAATCAGCGGCAGGGCAAACAGGCAAACAAAAGTGCCAGCCAGCAAGCAGAGCAGTATGACAAATATTTTGGCAGTCAACAGTTGTTAGTGTCCCACCAAAAAAATACTAACTAGAAAGATTTAAAATAAAAAGCGTGGCACCGAAAACAATGTACCCTCGCCAAACGGCATTTGAGCGAATGTTCTAACAGATTTTGTACAAATTAAGGTGCGATTTTGTATAAACAATTATGGGATAAATTGCCATCTGTATGAGAAAATTTTCGATTCTAGCATAAATATAGTATATTGTACTCAGCACTTTTCCCTAAAAGGGTTAAGATTAAATTTTTTATTTTCTGTCAATTTACTTTTGAACTAATTTTTTTTTTTTTTTCAGTACGAAGGCACCTCGTTGCTAGTACTCCCTTCTTTACTTTTATTTATATTTATTCTCAAATTAAAAAAGGGTTTGAACGGTTTTTAAATTTTTTAGAGTATAATAAAGCAGTCCCCTTATTATTTTCCTAATATTTTCATGGCTCTTCCAAATAATGAATGAAAAAAGGAATGAACATACAGCCTTTTTTCCGGCCATTATTGTAAGTTATTGGAAAAATAGGACCAAAAAATTT